GCTTGGTCATCTTCACGGAACGCAATGGAACGGGAGAATGCTCTCGGCGCCGCGGCGGAGAAGGATCTGGCAGCGGCAGCGGCGTTCAGGGCACGCAGAGCAAAGGAGACGGTCTGGGACTTGGGCGCAGCGGCGACGGTGACCGAGCTGGTGAAGGCGGCGCGAGTGGCCGTGCGACGGATGGACTGCCTGACGTAAGGGAAAAGATTGCAATTAGCCTTCTTTAATCATGGAATCGCTGCCAAGTGCAACATGGCCGGAACAATCTGTAGCAGAGTACTTACATATTGGAGTAATGTGATGGGAGAATGGTAGACGGATTGATAGATTAAGAGAGAGAGACGGAAAGGGTGAAGGGCGAGATGATGTGGTGTGCAGATTGAGATTTCCATGGGCGAACGAGAAATTTTGGGATTACCGTGTCGAGGGTCGCGGTGATAAGATACGCTAGCCTCATTTAGACCTAGCGTATTTCGGCCGAGTACCCACTTGGAGTCCAGCCATGGAACCTTGGCCAAGCGGCGCATCATGCCTCCTTCTTAACGCATGTCAACCTTAACTTTTCGTCTTCGCCATTCATTCATATAATGAGTCGGTCCAAGATTATGATATTGCAACAGAACTGATATTCGCAGTTATCCCCCACCCCGCCTGGGAAGAGATTGTGATTGGTAGCTTCCATGGCCACTCGCTTCCAGGGAGAGAGACCTAAGCTCGTCTCTGGGAAAACAAATTCAAACGCTGGTTTCCCTTCGGTATCCCCCACCTGACCAAATAGGAGAGGGATGATCCATAATCTCCATCAGTCATTGAACCTGCCACCGAGTTTCCCTATATAATTTTTTTTTCTTGCCGGAGTACAGCAATGGACCACACAGCATGCACCCTAGATGCCCGCATCGCCGTCCCATTGACCAACGCGTAGGTATATACACCTGGCCCTCCGTACCGTTCCCGCCTCGGCCTTCTTGAGCCTTGCCCACCCACCCCCCAAAACAGATGAAACATAGGACGCCGTCTTGCTTTTTTTATCTACTGACCAAGGACGAGGGTATATTGTCGTCCCCCGGTATCAGTGCTGAACTGGAGGAGCTGATCTCAACGGAACCTGTGAGCCAGTGGCACACTCAGGTATCGATACATTCGACACAAAAAGAAACAAACAAACAGCCCGCCAAATGGCATTGTGGAGCATAACGCATTCCAACAGAGGCACAGAACTGTAATAGAACACGCAGACCTCCATGTGAGGCCGCGAACATGTGTTTGGGTATAGGTAGGTTGATCCTGCAGGCTCTTTGCCTACGGGGTTGCTGCATGAGCGGCTTATTGGCCCACGAGTGTGTGCCGCGGCGAGTGCCTGGGGCACGCTGCGTCGCATGATATGGTCATGTACATGATGACGGTTGATTCTTCCTTGCCTCTTCAGACTTTAATACGGGCTCAGTACCTCTCGGGACGATAGCCGTTAACTCTGGGAGCCTCGTACTGGACGCCCGTCATGGAGTCGGGGTTGGGCATGTTGCCGTTTAGCCCTCGGATTGGCGGCAACTCACGGCGAGCCGCGTAAGGATCCGCCTGATACCCTACCGCTGGGGGGGGAGGGACTTGAGATTGAGGCGGCGCCTGGCCTGTGGGGGATTGCTGTAGCCTCGTGTTGTGCAACTCATTCTGGAGACGCTGAATGTCTACACGCAAGTTGTGGTTGTCTTGTCGGAGACCGTCGTTTTCCTGAGCCAACGTTGTGTTTTGCGACTGCACCATGCGCATGACGTCTGCCATTCGTTGATGCTCGGAAATGGCTATTTCAGATCAGTCTCTGCTCCAAAAACGATACGGTTGCATGTGACGAACCTTTGGTAAGAATTTCCCACTTGGAGGCTTTTGAACCTCGTTCCTGTGGCATCAAGTCACGCAGTTGATCGAACAATTCCTTCATCTCAGTCCTTCTCTTGCGTTCCGCCAACTTGTGACTCTTACGCAGCTCGGGCGTGCGGCTGTAGGGTTGTGAGCCCGTCCGCGAGGCTGCGTCGTCGTCGCGCAAATCCCCAATTTGCTTGTGCTGCAACGAGTGGTGGTGAACCGGAGGGAAGTCGGAAGAGGTGCTTGATAGACGGTTGTTGAAGTCGGCAGGCTCGTCCAAACGTCTTTGGCCAGGCGGTAGTCTCGATTCCGTGGTGAACTGGCTGCTAGCTATGGACTCGGCGATACTGCTACGTCTCGAGTCCAAGTATTGCTCGTGGTGGCTGATTCGTTGTATCTCTTCCTCTGGGAAAGCCCACGCCTGACCCTTGGTGGGCTCCGCAGCTCGGGCGATGTTGCTCGTCGCGGGGCCTGTGATGGCCGGTGCGGTCCGGATGATCTTTGGGTGCTCGGGATTCCTGTCGCTGCTGGGCTGGTATCCATTGGAGATACGGTGTACGGAGAGATTGTCCAAACCGGGGCGAGGGTTGCGCTGCTGGTTGAGAGTATTCTGAATTGAAGTAGTCGACTGGTTGTGACTAGCGTAGGGCGAGTTCCCGCCCAATCTCATGTCGTGAAAACCCTGATTTATCCGGCTGTCCACACTCTCTCTTCGAGATCCAGGCCCCATGATGTCGTGAACCACTCCAGAATCCAGGGATGTCGGGCGCTCGAATCGACGCGGGTCAGCACTGCCGGGGGTTGTTGGCGATACCATGGCGGCGACGCTCATGTTGCTCTGCCCAGGCGACACCAGCTGAGGGATCATGTTAGCCGTGACAGGCGAAGGTGTCTTGTCTGCCAGCGAAGATTGGTAGCCCGACCCCGTGGGGCTGAGGGCGTGGTGCACAACGCCTGATGCCGCAGAGTTATCTATGGGAGGAAAAAGCGTTAGTTGCGCCCCCTCCAACGCGAGCGTTTCTATCTTTTTATGTCCAACGTACGCTTGCTTGAGGCATCTGTACTCGAATAATAAGCCGAGTCGCGGTTTTCGTCTGGGTTCAGTACCCCTGCTAATCCCGCAGGAAGCTTCTGTGAAGCTGGTCGCTGTCCGTCCATGTTGTATTTCGATGACTATCTCTGGTATGATGGCAAATGAAGCGAGACCAATAGTCGTCGTGATATACTTGGATCGAGTTCGGTGGTCGAAATGGAGGTCAAGTTAAAGAGTGGCCAGAGCGAGGCGAAGCGAAGCGAGGCACAGGAAGGGTGATAAAGTAGGCAGAGCCCAGTGTATAGCGAAAACGTGGCGAACAATTAGATTGTCCGGGGTCGAGTTGCGCTGGACATGCGAAAGCAGCAGCCTCTCTGTAGGCGTCTGAGAGCGCAGGCTGCTCGATTGGTGGGATTGTTTGGATAACGAACGGAAGGTGTTGATGAGAGGGGGAAGAAAGGCGCGGTGAGGGTGGGATGGAGAGGATTGAATAAAGACGAGGCCGAGGAGCAAGGAGGAGAGGTCTAGTAAACTCGAAGGTCGGCCGGCGTACAGTAGGTAGAGAGAGAGAGAGAGAGGTAGAGGCGAGTGGAGGAGAAAGACGTATCGAAGCAGGCAGTTTCAAGATTGGGAAGACGGTAGCTGGGGGTGGAGGGGATAAGATGGAATTGAGCAGGCGGGAGCGCTAGGTAGGCAGGGTGGGTGGGTGACTTGTTGGCCTGAGCAGACGAGCAGAAGGAGACTCAACCCGGAAGAAAGAAAGCTGGGATCCAGACTGCGAGAGGAAAAAAAAAAGAGAGAAGCAGCGACAGGCGGCGGCCTTGGAACCGGGGTAGGAGGGGAGGAGAAGAACAGAGGATGCACAGGATAGGACAGGACAGGATAGGACAGGATAGGACAAGCCCGGGACAGGGCAAGACAAGACAGGGTTTCTGGGTACAGGGGAGGGGGAGTGAAGCTAAATCAAAGTCTCTCGCTCCTCTTTCTGTCTTGTCTGTCTGCCTCTGTTTCTGTGTGTGCAGACACTGTCTCCCGTTTCCTTCTCTCTTCTCTCCCCTCAAGCTCTCTCCCTCGCTCTCTCTTCACCCCAGTGTTTTTTCTTCTTAGTCTTTCGCATCCATAGCGACTTGGATGAAGTGTCGCTGCTGCTGCTGCTGCTGGAAAGAGAGCGAACGGCACTGCTTGAATTTCGTTACTACCATCTACCCAGTACCTAGATAAGTACGCACAAAGCGAGGTATATTGTACAGTACAGAGTACCGCTCAGGTAGCTGGCTACCTCTCTGTCTCTGTGTCTATATCCGTAAGTATTTCTGCCCAGCAGCGGCAAAAACCACACATGAGCACCCCTCTTCTCTCCGCCAAGGAGGAAAAAATAGACAGCGGAATAAATGACAGAGAAAAAGGTGGGTAGGTACTGAATCATTTGCGGCTTGCCCTGGCGCCCATACGGCTCTGACATTGTTATCATGAAAGCCGCCGTCTCCAACCTCTCGTTGAGTCTCAAAAGTAGAATCGTTGCTGCTACATACCTTATGGTAGGTACGGATAGGTACTTATTCCTGCATCTTTGCCTTCGCTTTCCGCAGCTGTGGCCTGCCCGCTCGAAAATAAGGTATGCCAACGTATTGTAGCGCTACTCTGGGCGGGCAGAGCCACCTGGAATAAGGTGCAAGTAACCCGATCGAGTGCAGGTATCCATGCCTTCTGCGGCGTGCCAGTCGATTTCGCTGGCTGCTACCCAGATAGCTCACGCCTCCGAGGTAGACCCAGAGCATCGCATAGGGGGGGGGGGGGGGTCTGGCGTTCGCGATGAGGCAGACGAGAAAAGTACTTTGCCCTCAGGTATTCAAGACTCACTTTTCTCTGGACGTGCCTTGGGGTGTCACCCCGTCCACCTCTTTGCCATAACCATGCCGCACGGCGCCACGGTGGACGACGTGGCGGCACAGCCGAACCCTGCTCGGGGGTTTTTGGGCACGCATGGGCGCTGTTCACGTTTCTTATTTCCCGGACTCGGCGGTAGCGAGTACTTGGGATGTTTGTCCAGCCCCAAGGCAGCCATCCCTGTCCTGATACCAGCATGGCAAGCCATATGGCCTTGCTAATGTACCCATACACACGCCGTCCGCCGCACGCCCTCGTGGATGTGCCATACCACGCTGGGAAGCTCGAGGGAGAGGACGTCTCCGATGGAAGTGGGGTCGCGGCCCTCACATGCATCGAGCATCTGTTTGTCGTGTGGCATCCTGGGGAAGGTTTTTGCTAATAGCTCTATGTGGTGTGCGTGTGCGTATGCATCCGCGTACATTTGTCGTCCAAGTGTAAGTAGCTGGACAAAAGCCTCCCGTCTGTTCAACTGCTCGACGGTTTAGTGGACTCTGGGGCATCATACAGGGCTCCGGGTCCGTACCTTACTCTGCCCCTTCCAATTTGTGCCCTGCAATTTCACAGTCTTGTGTTGCTGTTCGCCGTTATGAAGATCTTTGGCAGTGGCATTCTTCTCCCTTCTAGCACGCTCAAAGCGGACCATAGAGCTGCGCATCATGAGGATTAATGCTGCATTGAGTACAGCAGGATGACAGCGCCAGCCGCAATGGCCATATCGCAATGTGCGTATGCGTACTTGAGCGTGTGACGCTATCGGTAAACGGTTGAAATGACGACTGTGCTCTGAAGAAACAACAGTGCCAGGGTCGCACCATGCCATGCCGTCGATGCCATGGCTAGCCAGATCACGCCGGTATGTTGGTCAGATCAGGCCGCCCCAAAGACGGGTCTCGGGCAGCGCAAAATAGGTATTTGCAGAAAAGGAGAGCCCAACAGCAAAAGGGATCGAAAATGACGGCGGATCTGATGACGGGCCCGCTGTTTTCATGTTTCGTCTCACAATGATCGAGACCAAATGCCACCCAGTTCGGGGCTTGCGAACTGGCGGGGGCCAGAAGAAACTTGAGAGGCTTGGCGGGCCTGGTCTGCGTGACTGCAAGAAAAGGCCCATCAAGATGAAAAAAAAAAAAAAAAAGTGAACAAGGCCGGACCGATCGTATTGGCATTCCAACAGTGCGCAACAAACGCCATCACCGTCATCTAGGCCTCGCTCTTGCGCTTCGGACTCGGAATCCGGTCCGGTCCCTGTACCAGACTTCAATGTCGGGGTTGTTCGCAGCCATGCCATGATCGCCAGTACCAGGACAGGTATCTGTAGGCCGTCGTACTTTTGTCGAAGAACCTTGGCAACCCGGTTGAGGAACTTGGGATGCCATTCTAGGCACAGCGGTCAAGGGGCCGGCCGAGAATTCCAGCGGTATCAACAATGACCGAGGCCTGATGCTGCCCTATATGTGACGACTTTAACTCAACATGGTGTCAATTTTCGGTCGAGTGGTTCTTTGCAGCAATGTGCAATAATTGACGAGCTGCTGCGGTCCATGTATTTGCTTGTCCTTGGTGCCTGAGCCCGCTTGTGAAATGCAGGTATGTTGTATACATGGGCATAATAGGCTGCTAATGACAGTAGTGCGTTGCGCTGCGTCATGGTATTGGTGCGATGGTCATTCCGTGCAGGCATGCGTGTGTAGCAATTGATATCCTGAATGCCGACTTCATCGTGAATTGCGGATACACGCAGCACCGACGCCGATGGGGTTTTAAAATCTTAGGCCCAGGGTCCCCTCATCAACAAACCCGTATCCTGACTGAAGGGATTTGGGTTAAGTAGTCGTAGGAGAACAGGGCCACCAGCCAACAGGGCTTGCCCCCGGTCCCGGGGACGAGACGGAAGAGGACGGCGTTTCTTGTCATCCCGGTTGGACGGCGGCCAGAGTGACAGAGCCAGCATCGAATCTAAAGATGGTCCAGTGGTCAGACCAGGGTGTCAGTCCTCGAAACTCAAGCCTCAAGTTGGTAGCCGTACTCCGTTGTGTACTGTAAATGAAGAGAGAACAGCAGTGGACGGACTGCCCTTTGGTGGGAGGCACTGTAGGGCAGGTGGTGGTGAAGGTGGGCACCATTAGCAGGGCCTGACATAGCATGGCTACCGCGTGCGGAGCTGGTAGCGGCCATAGCATATCAAGATGGGCCTCGAGGTGGTTGCTTGCCATGCTTGCCTCGTGCGTACCGGGCTGGGAACAAGCTGGGAGCGGCACCGTTTGCGACGGGCGATGCGGGATGTGCACGTCCATTCGTGGATGACGGATCCATCCCGCCATGTCAATATTCCAGGCGACTGGGTTTGAGCCGATCGGTCCCATGTGCATTCCATGCGGTACAGCGCCTGTGAGGATGCCGTACCACCACCGACAAAGGTTCCCGACCTAGGACTAGTCGGCCAAGCGCGGTGGATAGACGTAAGCAGAGCGCACCTCCGTCGGCCGTCCAAGCATGAAAACGATGGGCCGGGGGAGAAATCGTTCTTGGTCAGATCCAGCCGAGATCAGGTCCGTGAAGAAGCGGCACGAGAGGGAGGCAAGGAGGGACCCGGATCTTTGGAGCCAGAACCCTGAAATCCGTGTCTCGGGGTTGTCTGCTTCGTTTTTTTGGTTTTGCCGAACCATGGTAAAGCAACATGTGGTGATGCAAGGTAGACGGTGATGGTGTCGGATACTGGGCACCAACGTGGCAATCACCATCCGTAGCCAGCTTGGCAGGTCATATGGGATTGCATCGTCTATCCTTTGCTCGGGGACTGTAGTGTAGGAAGTCAGGAACAGAGGCTGCTCCACCAAAGACCGTCGCGAGCAATGTTGATATGGTCTGTACGGGTACACATTTTGTGCTTGGATGCTAGTTATTTCGGATTCTAACACGACGGGTGAGCAACCTTGGTGTTGTTTTTCTTTTCCCCAATCTCCTTTGGTGATGTGTGTGTGGTGTGTGTGTGTGTGTGTGAGCGTGTGAGAAAATAGGGTATTGGCTCTAACGTAGGGGGATGCAGCACCGTTTGTCCAAGATCAGGCAAGAATGCTCCCGTCGTTAGTCCATGGAGCCTTCCCGGGCAATTTCGCATACCTTCCACTTCCTTCCAGGTCTGCTTCGCACTTTCCGTCAGGACTCCAACATTCGTGTCTAAACCTCTGAGGGCACAGTGTCTGCAGATCAAGAGCAAGGTAGGTAAACACTAGGTATCTGAGGGAAAAGTGACCAGCAGTAGCCAAGGAGTGAAGTTGAGCGAGAGCTCTATAGCAAGTGGAGGTATCACGGTATGTCGAAGTCCACCCAAAGGGTCTTTAGTGTTGGCGTCTTCGTCTGTCGTGGCATGCAAGACAATAAGATACCCCACGTTTGATTCGGTGGTTCCAAAACGCTCGACAGGTCTTGCGAATATTGGCCAAGTGTCTCTGTCTTTTTTCGAGGGCTCTCGCATGTACAGTGTATATGGATACACACAATAGGTCTGGGTACCGTTTTCTTAGTCCTTTTCCCTTCCCGCAGCCAGTGACAGATGAGGGCTAGACCGTCGAGTAGACTTGGAAGTTGAGACACTAGGCTACTACCGTCGCTGAGTATTCTTTCTGTGAGCTGTACAGGTCAACAGGCCGTGTCCCGGAACTGGTCATGTCCGCGCCTCGGTGGCTGGGTCTAGAGGCGGCTGCGTTGGGATAGTGCAAGAGGCGTGGTCCTGTGTGTGTTGAGAGATGGCGCCTGGCTCCAGGTACCGACCGTACTGACTAGGGAGCCTCGTGCCGAGTGGGGGAAACTGGTTTAGTTTTTCTTTCCGTCTCTTTCTTGTTGCTTGCTTTCTTTTCTCTCCTTCGCCAAGGCACAATATGGTCCGCTTGATAAAACTGGCCGACTAAGGTACGTACGTTAGCCCAACTGGAGAAACGGCGGTCGTCTTCACGTCAGTGTAGACTCGAGCTTGGCGACTTATTTCACAGCGCCAAGTGCGACGCAGTCCGTCTTGTTTGCGCCTGATGATTAATATCCGAGATACCTCAAGTAAGGGAAGCTTTTGAGGCTTGGAAACACCGCATGCAGCAATGTACGCCGTACTGTGCAGTAAACAGTGTGTGAAAGCCTGGCTGATTGGAGCAGCTTGTCGAGAACGCCCATCACAAGGGCAAAAAGTACGTACCGACGATACGAAGCGCAAGGCGAACGACGGTGGGGAGAATGGTGGGTTCGGCAGGCACGGAGGGAGAGTGTGTGGGTGTGGGGAGGAAGGGCGGGCACAGAGGCTTCAGCTTGCTGCTTCAAGCTTGTGAGCTTCCACGACACTGAGCAGTTTCTGGACAAAGCGTCTCGGACATCTCCCTTAGTCAGCCTCGCAACTCCAGAGCACGCACCTCCTCTGGCTCCTGCAAGGTGCGTGGGCTTAGGGATAGCCGTCACGCATTGTCCCGTCTCGGGTGTCAAGGTAAAAGTGACAAGTGGCTGATCTGATCTGCTGCACAGCCTCCTCCCCTCCCCAAATCTTATGTAATGAGCTATGCTAGCCAACCGGCAGCAAACTTGTCTATTCCGTTCTCCATCGTGCCACCGCTCCTCTGGATCCCATGTGCGATATCCCGATGACCACGTGCATTTTGTGCTGAATAGGTACGAGTACGTTTCTGGCACGGTACCCGTACAGAACAGATACTCTGCACATGCAACGCTAATCATGCCTTGGTCATATTCGTCCGCGAGCCAGAGTGCCTACCGCAGTGATCATCGGGCCGTATTTGTCTACTTGAGGTCTACGGATATTGTAAGTGTTTTGACCACTCACTTCTGAGCTATCCGTACTTGACGTCGAATTTCCTGCCGTCATCTCCCCACACAAAGGTCGTTGACAGCATGAGGAAGTACCCGTACCTGCCCTCGCAGGCTCGCTCCTTCCAGCAAATGTCAAGGTTCATCCATCCTCACGAAGCCGCCCAACCTTACCGTGCGGACACATCCAACCTCATGCTCCGCTACAACACCATCTTTGCACTTTATCTGACGGCCAGGCACCCTTTTCGCCATCCCCAGTCCCTGTCAGTTTCCGTCGTGGCATCGGCGCCACTTTTCACAGCTCATTATCCTGGCCTCTGCGAATACACACCGAGAACCTATCTGTACCAAGTACTCCGTGTTCTGCATACCACCGTGTATACGGGCACTCGAGCTTGAAGCAACGCAGCCCGGATGAGAGTTCCCCCTCTTCATTGTCGCAATCCCTCCCGCCCGGAGGCTTGTCGTCGATCGTTACTTCTTCGCCTTCTTTGCAGCCGCACCACACACACACGACACGATAATCAACACTCTTCCATTTGACACTATTTGACGTCTTGTTCTTAAATCGGACGTGGCCCTGTCGCGCCCTCACCCCAAGGGCCCAAAGCCACCAATCCGACAGCAATCGGTCAACACCTATTCATCACCGCACGGCATTTGTTTGCCTACCCGCTTGGCCTACAAGGGTCTACCAATAGGATCAGCCATGTTGTTGAGCCTTCAGTCAGCCAAATCGTCGGGCCCGCTAAGAACCCTCCTCTTTTCTGCGCTGCCCTTCGAGGCTCCGATACCTTGACTCAGACAATCGCCGCGAGGAAAGAAATGAAATGATCGACAGTATTCGCCAAAATAAAGAAAGAGCTCGGGGCTTGCCTGCTTGTTGACGAACCCCTATCTCGGTATTCCCGTTTGGATTACATGGTCCAAGATCTTGGAGTTCCACCAAGAGCACTTACCTGGACAAGTCTCGTTGGCAGCACATTTGTCTACCAAAGATGCTCGGTCTGGAAGGGAACTGCCCTGTGCTGGCTAGAGGGAACCTTGTCCACAGCTCCTTGCTCAACCAGCCTTGCCAGAATTTTGGGATCAATCACGAACCACGATCGAGTGCAGCACTGTAGCGGCCTGCCATGCTCAGGTGGCCCGAGTTTTACGATACTTTGCGTCGGAACCCCCACATTGGAACTAGCAAGAGCCTTGTGGGATACTTTCGGCAAAAGAATCGTTCAATACCCATGGCACCACGGCTAATGGACAGCGCTTGTCACAGCTGCGCCGATCTCACATTGCCCTTCATTGTGAAACTCACGCCGGATCAACCTTTAAAGAATTGCAGACTGACGGCGGCTCTCCTGCCTGTGTGGCAAGCCACGAGCATAACTGACAGCATGGTAATACAGTCAAGTAAACGATGCTAACAGTTCAATCCCGCTCAGCGACGCGCGATGGGAAGAACAACTCAACCGAGCGAGACACCTCCCAATCGAAAGGCCATGGTAATTACGGTGCGATACAGTATCCGCAATGGCCTTGCAACGGGACATCTTTCCGGACATAGGGATAATCACCATTCAACTACCCTTTCCCAGACGGCGGCCGTCCCTTACGAAATCCCATGTCTTGACTGACTCAAATGCATCACCCATTTGCGGCCCCAAATATGCTTGAGATTACATTTACATTGACTTCTAGGCAATACCGATCACTGGGTTTACTTCAGGGGCAAGCAAATAACGCATGGAACATATGAGGAATTGCGACACTCCGCTCAAGTTGATTCTTTGATCATCTCTGCAGCCGTTCGACCTTTTACTACAGGGATCGCGTCTGCTCAGCATTATCAAAGTTGAAGGCTCAGCCACACAGCAAGACTCGAGACCGAATTCTTAGATGCCTAGCTCCCTTGCGGTGCACCCTATCCATTTTTCATTCCCACACAGAACAGAACGCATCGACATTCGAGTCAAGTCCCTAGAAGAACATCCACTAACCTAGGAGGAGCACTCCATAAGAAAGAGATGCGAAAGACCACCACACAGTCTTCGTAGACCAGCAAGCGTCAAGACTTTACATCGCACAGCTCATGTTCAGAGCGTCAGGCTCTCAGCAATGTTAGATAATCTCCGCCAAGAACCTCGCAGCTTCGGTCTGTTGTTGTACGGGTACTGGAATTGCCCGCTCTGTTTATTCCGAATACCTACGGAGTACTACTCAAACGCCTCACAGAACCTTGCTCGCGCTTCAAAAGACCCCAATCTGCATTGCAGGCCGGCCCTTGCAACCCGCTCTCTCCGGGATGCGGCAGCTTGCACATCATCATTAAACGCAAAAGAGTGGGTTTCTGTTAGTCGTCCCACGTGGAGGTTCGATGAAGGGAATCCGGCGGCGCCATGTCTACTTGTAGGCGTGCATATCTCTCAACCTAGAAGGGAAAAGAATGAGACAAGCAAGACAAGTTAGCCGCTGGAGACATGACAGTTGAAGCTGGCCCAATGGAGTTCGTCTGCCAATGCAGTCATGGGTGTGTACGTACCTACATTGCTCCGTACGAGGCGCTTCGCGTTCGCTCATCTATCGACACACCATCAGTTCATACGGCACAGCGGCCTTGCGAGCTCTGGTATCTGGACTCCTTACTCAGACACTGTGTGAACCACACGTTCCCTTGAGGACGAGGGTGCGGGGCTGGGCCTCAGGGTTGGTGGGCAAAGGCTCTATGCGTTGCCTTTCCGCCCGTGTGACGGCCCATCGGTTCCTCAGATTTGTGTGCCACGTTTCTCCCACCTGCCAGTGTAGGATCTCCGCTGGCGTTCGCTTTGAGTGAGCCCATTGGGTGGTTTATCAACTCCCGGGG